GTCTTCAAGCTCACCGACTCTGTTCTATCTCTTCAGTTCTACTTTTTTATCCTGCCAATTATGCTTGGGAGGGTGGAGGGACAGTGCAGGAGGAGAAGACCTTTGATGAGATGGATTGACTCAGCAACTGGAGTAATGGGGGTAGTGCCATCAGAGACAGTGAGGTTGGCTCCAGATGGAACAGGGATTGGAGCTTTTGTATATAGAGTCACTATGAGTTGCAGGTGTCTCTACAGCACATGACAGCAACAAAAATGTGTGGGACAATTCTTCCCTTTGGCTTAATATTCTGGATTGCATTTTCATTCCTTTCTGTTATTTTCAATACTGTGTTGGCTGCACCATCTCTGTTTTGTAATGATTTTTTAAGTTCTTGTACCTCTTTATCTATGCTATCAAGTCTTTCTTCCATTCTTTGCATTTTCTTCCGTGGCTGTTCAAGTTGCTCCTCATCAATATATTTCTTCTGGATTGTGTCCCTGGGGTATTTGCTTTCTTAATTTTTTCTTCCATTCTTTGCATCTTCTTCTGAAGTTGTTCAAATAACTCCATATCAACATATTTCTTCTGGTTCACTCTATCTAAGGTATTCATTTGGTCTGGTTTTTGTTGTGGGGTTTGTTTTTTTTTGGTGTTATTTTGTTTTGTTTTGTTTTGTTTTGTTTTTAAGGTGAAGCGTTATTTTGATTTTTCATGATGACCAAGGCAGACTGCTGGTTTGTTTACATTATGTGAGTTTTTTCTTAGTAGATGTCAGGTAGCTATACAGTGACTCAGAGTATGGCAATGTTTTGTGAAGAACCTGTATATTTGTGCTCCCTTCTTGGCCCAAGGCCTGCGGTGCTGAGAGCCAGGTAGCAATGTTTCCTCCAAAGTACCTAAATGGAAAACATGTTGTTCCTTCAGAAATGTCATCCCCACCCAGCTCAAGCTGTCCTGACCCCTTCTGCTTTAGGTTAAATGTTCCCACATGCTGAAGCAAGAAAGCAGTGTTTCCCCGAAAGTGATGCTGGTGCCACATGTTGCCTGCCTGCACTGCATGTCTTCCCAGTGCCATCCTTTTTTTTCTTTTTTCTTTGAAAATAATTCTTTCTGAGCTCTGACAATATAGTACATACAATGCTGTACTACTACACAAAAGGCCGAGAATTTCTGGATATTTTGATCCATCTGGACTCCGTAGCAGGTGGATGGAAAATTTCCTTCTGTTAAGATTTACAACCCCAGTAAATTGATGGAGGGTCACTATGATTCAGAATCCATTTCATGGAAATGAGTTTTTAGTGAGGTGACCTCTACAGACATTCATTATTTTCCCCCATTATGAAGAGAAACTCAGCACTATGAACCTTAACCCCCCAAAAAAGAGTTTTAAACAAACCACAAAAAACACAAAAACAAAGCACAAACCACAAAACCAATTGTGATCTAGTCACAGCAGACTCAGAACTGGTCCTCCAGTGGACTTTTAGAGGCTATAAATGATATGGGAGTAGACTATTACCTTTCTCTATCACAGTTGCTGTTGGATTCAAACTGTCTGCCTTTGGGTTAGCTGTGTAACTTCTTACTCACTAGGTCACTAGAGTTCTTGATATACAGTCTGGTATTTAAGAGCATGGGCTCTAGATTGTACAAGTTCAAATCTCAATACATTACTGGAGTTATGACAAAGGGACTCATTTCCAAGTTTCTAGAATACAGCTTAGATTATTAATTCCTTTGTCAAAACACATGTGTGAATTCATGAACACAAATCATAAGGCTCCTCTTCTGCATTAAAATATTAAATTAAATGAAATACTTTCATTAAAGCAACATTTGACAGTGAGTTTCTTGGAAGCAGGTATTGTGCTTTATTCCAAATTAGATTTCTCTTTTTTAAAAAAAATTGTTTGCTTATCATTATTCAGAAGTAGCTTTTGTAATGAATACATTAATGAATGAGGACTATAGCTGTCTGCACAGAATGATCATGCTCATTTTGCAGAGGAGGTTTACAAAGGCCAAGCAATTATTCCAAAGTCACATAACTAATGCATCTTGTCTAAAGAAGAATTCAAATCCAACTATATCAGAATTCAAAGTCCACCATGCTGACAGGTCAGTCTTCTAAATCAGTAGTATACTCATCAAAATGCTGACTATGGGGTTTGTTTGTTTTTTACAACTTAAACTTGCAGGTACTTACTTAAAACAAATTTCCACAGTACACAGTGCACTGAAGTCAATAGAATAAGAATAATAAAAAGTGTGAGACCTGTTTTATGTGTGTGAAATGATTGCAAGTTAGTTGGTGAAAAGAAGAATGATACCTGAAATATTAAGTATGAATATAAGGTAGTTGTTGGTATGTGCCATTGAGTCACCTGCAACTCTTATGTACAACAGCTCTGAACTCTGCTGTATCCTGAGTGAGTCGCACTGTCTGTGACACATCTACCCCCATTGTCCCAGTGCAAACCATCTCATTTAGGGTCTTCCTTTCCTTTGTTGTCCCTCCACTTGTCCAAACATGATATGCTTCTCCAGGGATTGGTCCCTCCAGGCCACGTATCCAAAGTATGTAAAATAGAGTTTCAAAATCCTTGCCTCCAAGTAGCAGAGGTTTCACCCTCTCCAGGCTAAACCTGTTTCTTTTCTTGGCAGTCCATGTATATTCAATACTCTTCCCCAGCACCTCAACTCAAAAGCATTCATTCTTTGTCATCTTTGGTCACTGTCCAGCTCTCTGATGCAAAGAAAGTAACTGCAAAGCCTATAGCCTGAATCAGATGTACCTTAATCTCCAGACTGACAAATATAACATATCACATTAAATATTAAATGATAATTTTTTTCTTTTCAGAAAAAAATAAGAGAGTGACTATAAATTACAAAGAACAAATCTGTTTCAAAAGAAGTTCAGTCACTATGCTCTGTAGAAGCAAAGATGGTATCTCTTTAACTTTGGACATCTTAGTAGAAGGACCAGGGCCTAGAAAAAGAAAGCTTGGTGAATCAGAGGGTCAGTGGAAAAGCAGAAGGACTTCAACAAGATTGATTGAAACAGGCTATTTACAAAAGGCTCCAATGGAGCAGCAGTTGTAAGAATTAGACAGGACTGAGGAGATTTTTTGTGTTGTATTATTGTCATGGGAAAGTCTGCTGTTAGGGACCTCTCCAAAGTACTGAAGAGCAATGGTGTCTTTCTGGAGATTAAGGTGCGTGTGACACAGGCCATGGTCTTTGCAATCACTTGTTATGCATCAGAAAGTTGGACAATGACAAAGGAGAATAGAAGGAGAATTGATGCCTTTGAGCTGTGGTGCTGGAGAAGAGTATTGAGGGTCCCATGGACTGCTAGGAAAACAAACAGATTCATCCTGGAAAGGGTTAAACCAGGCGGCCCCCTGAAAGCAAGGATTCTGAGGCTCCATCTAACATACTTTGGACATGTTCTAAGGAGGGACAGGTCCTTGGAGAA